TGCGCGCGTATAGTTCCGTTACGTAACATTTGGTTACTCGCAAATGCCCGCCTGCACTCGTCAACACCCTTTCATTCTCAAGATGGTGAGGGACCCACAACGCGAGGGCTGTAAAAAGCGACAACAGATTTTTATCCAGCCCCTGTTGTTGTCTCGACAATGTCATTATTGAAAGACTTCCCTATTTTAATGACACCCACTATCATGGGGCAGCCATCTTGCTTTTCTGCCATTCAAAGCAATGTAACCAAACTGTGGCTGGAAGGAAAATTAATCTGTTCTCTTTTCATCAATGTGTGAAGTTGTCATACTATTGCCAGTGGGTCTGAGGGAACAGGACAAACATGGCAGCATCATGATAAAGGTCCACAGCCGCTACTACATATGATATGATTACAAGGCGGGAGAGATAAGGTGCTGTTGGATTCAGTTCATTTTTTTTTTGATAGGTAAAACTAAATTGTCAGAGAAAGTTGTCAAGGACAGGCTTTTTTTTGTTTTGTTAAGGAAGACATCACATTTTGCCATTGAATGAAAAAGCACGATGGAACAGGTGTGTGCTTGCACAGGGCTTTCCAGTCCTGTATCTAATTTCACTCGAGCAAACATTCATGAGCCGCTAACATCTTGTAATGCCGTTGAATGTAATCCAAGCCTACATCATTACCTTGCCAGCTGTTGATTGTGTAATGTGGAACCACGTAGTTTCAGAAAGGTCAACATCATTCCCCTGCAGTGAGAATGCTACGTGATTTAACGTTGACACATGATCTGGTGTTTTGGGGGCCTCCTGCTAGGTATTGCGTCCCTTCATGTTTCAAGACTTCGTCAGGAAATAAAAGTTCGTCGTCGTCGTGTGCCGTGACAAAAAAAAGGCATTTTGAAGACTCTGTGCTGGAAATAAATCAGTATGCGTTGTCCCCCATCACATTTTTTTCTGGGCTGATTGCGGGATTTTTCAGGCAGCGACAAAGCCCAGCAAGCTTTAATTCGAAATATTCCCGTGTCCTTTGAAGTTATCTTATGGAGAAATTTGTGTCATGTCACAATAACTCGACCACGGTATGACTGGTTATAGGACGGAGCATAAATAGATGGTTAGCCGTCGTGGATTCCAAATTAAACCAGAATTAATGCTTGGTGTTTTAAAGCGATTTGTCCTAAGGTCATCTGTCTAATTCCCCGCCATCCTGTGGATTATCATACGCCCCCGTATGCGGTGCACTTCGACATAACCCAAAGCTCCACATTTCTCTCGCAAAATGACAGCCATCAACTGCACACAGTTGGTCCCCATCTCCCTCTGTTGTGAACTTGTGGTGATCTGCATGTTCCATAACATGCATGATTTCCAGGTCAAGCTCGAATCCAGGTGACTTGGTACACGTGGCAATGGGGTCTTTGGAGCCGATCGGGCCTGTGCATGTGACGCACCGATAATCTGTTGTCGGTTTCGGCGAGCAGAAAATCATAATAAATGAGTTTACCATACCGCGTCAATCACCATGCCCATTGAAACGTTACGAACCCAGCTGGTTGAAACCGGTACACTGCGTGAAAACCGGCCGATGTTTTCATCGAAATGCACCACTTGCGGCCACTGTGGCGGCCATACACGTGCGCTGTTTTAACCATTGCGCTGTTAATTAATTAATGTTCAACTATGGTTCAACGTGGCTGTTCTGTGCTGACTCGTCCCTGTAAGTTGACGGGGTCAGTGATGGGGCAGCTAGCTTTGTAGCGGACCCTGGCTGTTCGTTGTTGCCCTTTTCATATGACACGGCGAGCAAATTTTCCAGGCATGAGCTCGTTAGCAAATTAACTTTGGTTTTTTTTTTACCAGTATTAATGTTTACGGAATGGCTTCAGGTACATCCTCTACGCCATCACTCAGTGTCCATAATTCCAACATAATTATTGCGCGTAATATGTTATGTATAGAGCAGCCCATCGTGACTGGAATCCAAATATTTTCAAATATTTTTTGTTCCCGTACATTTCTTTTACCCCATAAATTTTGTATGGAGTCTTAAAAATAATTTTGTGGGATGAGAGATGGAATGTTCCATTCTACTGAGCTTCGCCTCGTGGAATGGAACATTCTGTTTGTCACCGAGTGATATTCTTCTTTGCAATGCACAAATGTGAAGCATTTATTACTTGTTTTGTACATCTCTTGGATATAACCCCTGCATAACCGGAAAAAAATCTTAAAAAATCCCCGAATCACCTGCACGAGTTCAGAAATTTCTCGTGAATATGGAAACGTTCCATTTACTAGTGAAGGAGAACGTTCTCTGTGTCTTTTTCTTTTAGATTGCGTCGCGCTTTGGGACGAATATTTCATCGCCACATGATCAACGGCCCGCCGACGAGATAAAAGGGGATTTATTAAAAGTATCTTGTCAATACGAACAGTGTGCGGCGTGTGTTTAAGTACAGGGGCCATGTCATTCTTGAAAAACTCGGGCACATTGCCAGGAATTCCTGAAAGGATGGTGCACGTGCGGCGTTCACTCCGAAACTCGACCGCATCCGATTGGCATTTTAGCCCTGCAGATCGTCGGTTCTTGCGGTGATTGCTGCGAAAATGTCGAGGGATTTCCTTCTTCCTTTGGTTCTGTTGGCACAGTTCCGGATGTATGCATGAGGAAACCGTCTGGAAGTGAAACATCAATTAAATGCGATTCTGAGAATCCTCATGGGGGGGGGGAAAGGATTGTACATTGAAGGCATGTGTTGCTCAGAATTTTGTGCTTGAAAAAGTAAGGGGTTTTAATCAACCTGCAGTATCGGAGATTTAGAAGGATATATATTCCCCAAGCCCCTCCCCTAAAAGCAAAAGTTTTGTTTACAGTCACAGTTGTAATGAATGTTTGGTTTCCAATTCGTGTTGTTGCCAAGAGTTCGTACCATAAATTGACTGCTGTGCAGTTCCTATTATCTTCTTTGCTATTATATTCAAATCATCTACGGGCTCACAAGTCTCGCTGTGATTCACACCTGTGCCAAGTTTATAGAGGTTCATCCTTGACTGAATGAATGGTCAAGTCACGGTAAGTTTGCGGTTAGCTATACAAGTATTTTTTTCTGCGGCGATCCGTAAACTTCCATTTTATTCATATGGTACTATTTGCGCCTTCACCGATACTGAGTAGGTGTTTTGATTGTGTTGATTTTGGGGTGTGATTTTCTCACCCAAGCAACGTAAAAAGTTGTACGCACTTGCCAAGAACAGTTCTTGTTCTTTCCTACACACTTCGCTGCATTCTTTTACAAAACTTGTTGTACATGTCGGCCGATGCCCATTTGTCTGTGTGATTCATTTTCTTTCAGTGGGCTCTTTCCCGCCAAATTGTCCATGACATGGGAAACGCGTGGGCCCAAGAAAAATTGATGAGCCGAAAATCTGCGGTTGGAAGGTTTCCAATATACCTGACATTTCGAGGATCGTGACAGAATGCACACGGTGCTTATGTGTGTTCGAGCTGCGTCGTAAAACTCGCTCAATGGCGAGTTTCAGGTCACCAGTGAAGCCAACGCCTCTTGTCATTGCGCAAGCCCCTTATGTCACCTCGTGATGGAGTTATGAACTGTAACAAACAGCATACACGACCATCCCCAGGTCAGGGATGCCCATTGTAGGGTAATCGAACTAATCTATTATCTGAAAAATATATGAGAGAGTTAGAATGATGCCTAGGGGGTTGCTCTCATTATGGATGTGTTACAAAAGATAGTTTTATCAGGTATGTATTCGGTATCTCCTGTCATAGGTCGGCAGGCACTGATTTCAAAGCCAAAGCTGAAACCTTTTTTTAGCCATAACCTGCGTTTTTATCGCATTTGTGCCTTTGATATACATCAGGTAAATGATAAGCAATATATCATTCAAGATGGTTAATTCTGGTTAGTATTCGTGTTGCTTTTGGCAACCTGATAAGTCTCCCCAACCCATGTTTACTCACATTTCTATTCAAAACGACGCCTCAGCTCAGTCTTACCACGTTAAACTACATCTGCAAAACTTCACAAAAGTGTACTTTGAAATAAATGTCTTCCACGTGTGCAGGAATTGATTTCCTGTTTACTTCTTTTGATATGCAGTTGTGTTTTAATTGGATGAATTACAATATTTTCACCGCCAGAAATAGCCCTCTATACAGTATACACTATCTACTATTTTCAGCCAACTTCTGGCATCAACTTCTAAGAAATACCTTGATGTGAATACCGTCTTTATTTTACCAGGCAGCGATCGAGGTGCTCATCGCTTTTAAGAAACTTACACACGCGAAATACCGTGCAAATTACGTCTAAATGTAGGAATGTTCTCTATTGTAACCCATGACACAATGTTATGCCATGTGGTTCTACCCACCGCGTGCCTGGTTCATGCTGTCATGTCTGCCTCTACAGTTTACGTTTGGTTGTTGATAAACAAAACATGACAGACCGGGAAAAAACTGCTGTTTCACATCGTGTATTATTAATTTTTACCACGGTCAGCATAACGTGGCGTTCCCAACCGGGAGAGTCTTCGGCGTTCACTTGCTGTTCCCCAACGGTAAACATACGCGCAGGTGAATGAATTTAAAAATATTGACTGTTGATATCCCACTTGAAAATTTAGTGAGAACGCAACAAGCTACTGCTGGTGCATAAAACAAAACAAAAACAAACTTTAACAAAACTAAACAAAAACCAAGACACCCTTGGTTTAGCATAGAAAGTGTAACATTTTACAGTTAACGCCTGTGATCAAACCTTTGTTTCCAGAAGACAAACAGAGCATCCTGCACAATATTGCTATAGTTTTTAACCCGGCAGTGTGGATAAATACTTGCAGACATAAAATGGTCGTACGGTGTAGAAGCACACCCCACGAAACCACGTGATTTTGAATGACACCTGCCTGCATGTCACCGGGTTTACCTTCTCTACATCTCGGGTTCGATGATTGGTCGACATTTAATTAAGCCTGTCCGGGCACTGGTTGTCGCAGGAGCGAACTTCTGCGTTTTTGCGTTGTATTGTAAACACTTCGTTGGCCTCATACAAAAAGCCCTTGTGTTGATAGGTGGTAAACAAGTAGGTACCTGGGATCTCACTATCGTGGGCTTTGAGAGAGCGCTATAAAAACTTGGAGCCAAGCACCTTCAGCAATAGCCTGACCATCGAGACCAAGGCGGAACGAAGTCTGTGTCGAATCTGTTGTGACGAAACAAGTTCATAGACAGCTCGACTTATTCGAAAACGACACTTCTTGGCAAAGATAACTGAGTGGTAAAAATGCAGTCGCATCTCGTGCTCTTGTTTTTGGCGCTCCTTGCTGCAGTTTGTGCGGGTGAGGAATTTTGCCTTGAAAGTTACAACTTTACATCTGAATCAACCTCTGACACTTTGCTTGTCTCAGTGACAAGAATTTTAGAACAATGCTTGTGTGTGTTTTAATTGTTATTTAATTTGGATGTATTTGTTTTTTTCTCGAAGAAGTACAACTTGAGGAAACGGTTATCCCTGACGGGCCTGAAGAGGTCCCGGTGCAAGATGAGGAAAACGATCAGACGGAGGCTCCCACCGCAGAAGACACCGCCCAAGTCCTGGAAGAATTAGAGCATCAGATCTTCGACCAGGTTGTGCGGGCGGACGAGGTGGCGCCTAACCCCCGCGCCAAGACGACGAGGCGGTGCTGCAAGCTGGGCCGGCAGGTAGCCCAGAACGGCCTCTTCTGCAACTTGGACCTGCTGCAGGTCCAGAAGCGGCCCAACGTGGTCCACCGGCGCAAGATGAAGTTCCACGGGCCGGAGGTGCACGGCAAGACAGTCTACAAGGACCTGATGCGCCGCGTGGAGAAGTGCGCCCTGAGCAACGCCTCGGAGAGCATGTTCGTCAAGTGCTGCGAGTGGCAGCGGGACATCATCCACGACTTGGAGCAGTGCAAATTGCTGGACACTCTGAGCGAGAGGAGAAGATGCAGGAGGAGGGTACAGGCTAGACAGTAAGCTTCTCTTGCCATCGTGAACTTTTTTTGTTGAATGCTGAAACTGGAAGTTTGAATTTTATTTTGCAGAGACTTTACAGTATTGACTTATTTTTCTGAAAGAACTTTATTATATTTGTGGTTGCTTTTGAAGTCAAATTTTTATCAAGTACCTTGCTGATAAAGTGTCACTGGTTGTCCCGTTGGTATTACGTATAGATACTCAGTTGATTAAGCGAGAAATATTGATTTCTCAATTCAGACATGTTAATGGAAAAATTTTCCACCCTGGATTTTCCCAACCGACTTTTCAATACTGAACTGGGGACTGTTTCCAAGAATAATTGTCTTTATCGCAAGATAGATCGCGGTTTTTTCCCTGAACTACAAGCTTTGTATCCGCATCATATAGCTCCATGTTATCAGCTTACACTGTTTGACAGATTATTCCAGCTATAAAAAGTACTTTCCAAGCAGATTCCGAATTAGGATACACTTTCGCGTGTGTCATCTGTACTGGGTATCGCACTCTTCGCCGTTCTTGCTTTAGTTCGCCCAAGGCTTGTAAAGTTCATTTGTCCGTCCATCATGTAAATGCAGTTTTGCAACTCGCATGACATGATGTCACAGCTACACATCTGCTGCTCAGAAACATCGTCCGTGCTAGCTCTATGTGAAGACGAACAGACAAAATCTTACGCACGTTTTTTTGACGTTTTATCAGGTTTCTTTTTAAGTTTTCACGATGTCCTGTGCAGTTGTAGTCAGAATATTTGTGTTCAAGGTTGTTATAACTGTTAGTAAAGACTGTGTTTGTTTACTCCCCGGGGTTTGAGCCCACTAGCAAACACAATCCGTCTCTTTGAAAAAATATATGCAGCCTTCGACACTTTCCGTCAATATTTGCGAGCCAGGCACTTTCTGAATTCCCCACGCACAATGGGTGCTGTGCATACAGTAGGCCTAGATGGGGGTGACCTCGATTTTATTACCGAGACATTTACCTGCCTTGGGATCGGATTGGTGACAGGGTAAGCTGGGCTTTTCTTTCGAGAAGATCCAATTTTCTGTTTGAGAATCGATCCGCAGATCTCATTGATCTGCGCGTCACCCCGGATCCTGTGTACTTCGTAAACAACAAAAAAGCTCAGCATAGGCCTAATACGAGTTTCCCCCTTAAAGGTCCGAGATGAGCCCCGTATTTCTTGGGTGATTCGAGGGCTTAGATTTTGTGCTGTTTTTCTCGCTGAAAAACAGCTGCCCTCATTATATTTCAAAAGTTCGAAGCAACTGAATATTGTACATGTATCAAGCTAAAACTGTGCATCTTATAAATATCTTTTATATACATACACGTACATGTACATTGTATATCAAACCCTTAACTGATTATGTTTGTAAATATATCTTGTGGACTTATAATTTTAGGCGAGCCTCGAACAGTATTATGGAATAAAGATTATTCTCACAGCCTTCGACTTTTCCGGCTTAAATCTCCACTGGTGATATTTCTTTGGTCCTGGGTGCCAGGAAACACAAGAACATTTTATTTGGAACTCGGGACAGTCTTTGAAGAAAGTCATTTGTAAAAAAATGTAAATATGGTTTATAATGCTTACATTTCAGGAATAAAACATGAAAACTGAAGTCATATGCGGGAATTGTTTTCAGTTGCATGTGCTGTACATTAGTGTGTTTCGTGCGGCATAACTTCGGAGATCCAACTTCGTTGATAGGCCAAAACCTTGTTCGTGAGTCTTTGAACGATATTTTCTTGCGGTTTTCTCGCCCAAAACAGAGGGTAATTTGCACATCGCAAACTTTTTTAGAGAAGAACTGCACAGTTTGCAACACTGAAAATATGGTGTCTGGCAAGGGCAACATTTACAGTTCAGACAAAGCATACGTGATAGTGTGGACAAAAGGACTCCCGTCACATAACAAGGAAGTGGGTTTTTTTATGAACATGCGCTGTTGTGTTCATGCAAGTATATACCATCCATCAGGATTGGTTGTTCCTTTACAAAAGCTCAACTCCGATACCTGATTCTTTATGTTGCACAAGCTCACAGCCTTGGGCTGTCATTAAATAGTCTTTATCCACCCACCCTCGTTGACTCGTGCGACTTGCTTATCCCCTCTATTGTTAAAAGGCCTTTGGGGCGTACCTGGCCTATGCCTGAACCTAAACGGGACTGTTCCACTCACCGCACATTACAAAAATCTCTTGCCTCATTTTACATACTGTTAACGTGTAGGAGACTTGGATGAGTTACACCATGGAGGAATAGGGTTACACATATTTTCGGTGATGTAAAATTGGGAGATGCCTGGTCCGTTACAGAGACAACAATATCGGTACCAACCAGGGTTGGATCAACCGTAGAGCAAGGAAACAAGATCAAGCCGACCAGTACATAAATTGCACGTTGTCGACATTGACAGCGGTTGGATCCCAAATCAATCCATTTGAGGAGTTTTTTTGTCTCGGGAAGCGCATTGGTATCGCACGACTGAAAACCCTGGATTCTTCTTGCCTTGTTGTCTGTGATTGTAAGTTTTCCTGAAACTCCCTTTGCAGCCCTGTGTGAGCGCATGGAGGAAGGATGCCTTTCCTCAATGGTGCATGCATTCTTATGAAATCCTATAAAGGGTATTTAATTCAAGTCTCATTGAATACAATGTCAAATCAGCGCTGTTCATTGCCCAATAACATGCATACTAATATCCCTGCAGGTGTCCAAAACACAAATCAAATTATTGTCTGGTTTTTATAATATTTCATTTGTTTTGGGTTTTTTTTTCATTTTTTTTTGTGAGTTAATCAATTACATTTTTAATTACTCCCACAAAACAAAATCACCCCCCAAAAGTGATTTTCCCCGAAGTCTGATTGCAGCCATTTATCAAGTGGTAACCCTCAACTTTCCCGGGCACTAAGGACCATTTTCCAACCGTATTTCGTTTTAGCCATTCTGCTGTCCTATGAAAGCTCAAAGACCCACGGAGGGGGAGTTGTTGTTTTGCTAATGACGCTTTTAGCTACTCCGGCCATTTGCGCCAGTAACTATACGTTTATCCATAACCTTTATTAATCAGCATCACATTACGAAGTTAGGAAGAAGGTCCCGTTTCAGAGGCAGGAGACCCAGGGAGCTGATCTGGCAACGATTTACGCAATCTCACTATGGGGGGGGGCAAGCAATCTCCTTAACCAAAAGATACTGCGGGGTCACTTTTAATGCTAATGAACTGGCTAGAAATTCTCACTTGAATTGATGGTCTGCACTCTGAAGAGTCTGGCAACCTTTTCGAGTGTTATAGCCCCCTCTTGTGACGTGCAGGGCAACAGTAACTTGTTACCTCTATTTGGATTGTGAACGATACTATTTAATTTCGAAACAAAAACTGACATGCTGGGAAGATTCCGTATAATTTGCATTACACCGGGGGGGGGGGTAATTTCTGTTGTAGTTAAAAGCGCGGTGCCTCTGGCCAAGCATAATTAACAATCAGTGGTAACAACCAATAGCACTTCTATTTCTGTCCTTATTTTTGAAGTTTTCTCAGACAGTTTTTTTTTCCTGCAACTTAATCGAGGTCACTAACTTCTTTCGTTATTAAAACAAGCAAATGAGTCATTTTTGAGTATCCTTCAAGCGTTCTCTTAAGGGTGGTGTTTGTTTTGAATTCTGATAAGAAATAGTGAAAAACGCTTCATAGATCTGCATCAATATCGAATCAAACTTTGACATAACTCGATCATGGAAGAAAAAGTAGACCTGCATAATAATACGAAATAAACAATATGACCGTTTTGTGTGTGTGAATGCCATCATTCGATGATTCCCACAATTTATATTGTGAAAATGATGATGCCTGTTTGAAGGCGAAATGCATGTAAGACATGGTATGGTGAAATAAAAAATAAAAAGCCGATGAACATCTTAGCATGTATGTCACACCATTCTAGTTGTAGAGGTGTGTAGTGTAACCAGTACTTACCAGTACTTTTTATAATTTCGGAGAATAATTTGACAGTTTTGTGTCCTTATTTCAAGGTATTGAACACGAATATACATGCCACGGCGGAGGATTCGGGCAGTATTTTACACGGATCATACGGTGATCATGTTACTGACGTAGTCACGCAGAGTCTTCCGCTACATACACACGGGGTCGGGCCATTATGCCCCGCCCATTTTGTGTCCATTCATAAATTTGCTTTGCGCGACGGTCATTGCTCAGACAAGTTATGCACTCGGTGACCGTGACAAAAAGCCTGTTTTGTCAGATTTACACGTACCTTCGGCCTTGATTCCCACTAAGGCTGCAATGTAAGAAATGCAAACAGCAATTGATGGGGAGAAACATACCCCTGGGGGGCCTGACATGATTTTTCGTGGAAATCAGTCGGGGTCCGAAACCTCGCCGGAGTTACACCGGTCGTTTACCGGAGATCGAGAGAAAGCGATTCGCGTGAACCTGAGAATTGGCTGTCGTATACCCATTGAAAATCCAGAGGTGAACCAGAGAGTTCAACCTGTGCTAGGAGAAGTAGGTCAATGACAGTCCTGTGCCAGCCTGATAATGTTTCTCAAATATTTTTTTCCGAATGGCGAGTCCGGAGGAAGGAGATGCCACCTCCAGTTTCAAATAACTGTGCAAAGTGGACAAAAACAGATGTTTTAATTAACGCCGTTGCCTCAGCTTTAGTGTTTTCCATGCAGTCCTGTTTACCATTTGTGTATTAACTTAAAAATTAACGTTAACTCTAACGGTACAGGTGATTTTGCATGGCTAGCAAGCAGTGCATGAATTTAAATGTGTACGGGACGGGAAGTTAAAGCTGTGTCTCGTATCAACGTGAGATTAGAAGGAAGTCATGTCACACCCTTTTCTGTTGTTTTTCCTTTTCTTTCCCTTCTCTTCTGTGATTAATTACAGCCGAGATGTAACCAACACCTAAACACAACCATGGAACCTTACACTGCAAAAATCTGCATGATGATAAATTACAAACCCTGGCCCTGCCTACACACGATGTAACGTTAACTCCTCGTGCTTGAAATAGTAATTAGTATGGGCTTTAATCTGTCCTGAGTAGCATACCGAGACGGAATGCATAACTCTTGACACAGAGTTAATGAAAGAAGCCGGCACACAAACTGGCCTCTCTCGTCTCCAGCGTGTCTGACCGTATCTGCTCCGAGCGGAACAAAGAGGGCGTGTTTTTGGTACTCATCGCACAGGCGCGCCGTGAGGCGCGCAAGTATAATGCGCGTTTGACGCGGAGCACGCTTAGTACGTGTAACTACATGTAATTTATTCTGGCATGCACGGTCTTTGCGTACACGCAGAACGCGCGCAAGAACCCGCTTGTAACCACCTGGCTTTCTATCGCCGATCGGGGGTGCACTTCAGCTCAGGGCGGATACGTCCGTCCACTCGACAAGTTTTGCCAAACGCACAGCGACCAGCAGCGTAAAGTAATTACTGAGATGCATTGATCTCTTTGGAGATCAATGCTGAAATGGCATCCCGCGCGCATGCAGGTGGTACGCGCGCATTACATTCCCCTCAATCTTCTGACTTGTCCAAGGGCGCGCGCAATGGACGCGCACGTGGCGTGGCAGTGGTAAAGCATTTGAATTCAGTCGTCAGTAAGGCAAAACATGATATGGAAAACGAAGTTCATTGTCTCTGGAGTTATTGTGGAATGCCGTGTCCCTTGTCGCGCCCCATCAGTCAACAGGGAACCAGTGCCGATTTCATCGCAGCAGATCACGCCATCCGAGAACCTTCCAACGTTGGCCCTGGAAGATCTGCAGCCAAACCACGGCTCCAATCCGCGTCACTCAAGCAAACTGGTATCCCTGCTTTCCTTAAGTTCCAACGTGGTCAGAAGTTTAGGAAACCAGCCCCTAATCTGTCCTCACCTGCATGCCACAAACAAGCCCACGTGGTCACTGTTCTTTGGCGGTGTTTGTAAACATTGGCATTCCGTCCTCTTGTCGAATCGCCTGACTGTGACAGGTTGTTGTTCTCGAATCGCGAAACGAGGAGGTTTGGTTGACTCACCTTTCCACGAAATGTGCTGATAGCGGCGGTTTTTACTCTCCCTTTTCCCCTTGTTTCCCGTTCGGTTTTCTGTTGACTATTAACTTGGGTCTACGTGCGTGAAACTCTCTCAGCAAATTTTTCTAAATCAGCCAAATAAACCGAAAACTCTCCCCCGAAAAACAGACAAAAAAAAGTTAAGCCATTTCATGGCGACAGTGGCCTCCTCCTTTCAAAACGAAATCGAACATGTTTTTTGTTCACGAAAGGTTTTGCTTGTATTTTTTTTGGTAGGTTTCTCCTCCTTTACCGTCTGATCTTTGACGAAAAATGCATCTTTAGCTTGGAGCACATTCATTACTATAACCGTGAATTGAATTTTCCCAAGAGCTGTGACGTGGCTCACTTTGAAATTTTGCTAAGTGGAAGTGCTTACGTGCATTTCCAAGAAATGGTTTTGTTCGATTGCCAACATACATTCCAACATCACATGCTCTTAGAAATAGCAACACGAAACATTAATTAACGACTCCATTCAATATTACATTGCATATAGGACCCAAAGTTTGACCAATTTCTTGTAATTTAGGC